ACAGATATAAAATTCCACTGGTTCCCTTCTAGAAAAATTATGTGGTTAAAGAATTCCTTCGAGAGAACCGCTTTGTGAGTGAACTTTTGCCTTTCATTTTGCTGGTGGAGCAATCGAATTTTACAAGGGAGTATCTGCCTCACAAAAGAAAGAACTGTGTGCACAAAACATTGTAATTGCATTATTAGGAAAGAAAAAACGAAAATATTTAGTTGTTATTTCTTTCTCCATCTCTGTATTCGTAGCACTTAGAAAACAAAATGCAGTGCAATCCATTATACTTATACCTGCATTTAAACGTCATGTGCCAATTCGGAACACATTCCACAAAGGAAGTGAGTAACGTAATTAGTCAAAAAAAGAGCATGATCGTAAAAGTAATTAACGCTAATTCTAAGCAACAAAAGTGCATTTATTACCAATTAAGGAAACAAATGTAATTGAAAACATAATAGAATATTTTGGCAATTATAAGTGTAAATGGGAATGAAGTAAGTCAGTGGCCTGAAACTAAAATTGCATGCAGAATGCAGACCGTATGAAAGAAAAAAAAAAAAAAACCAGGCAAGCCTATTTTTTTAACCAAAATGAAAGTCTTTTTAACAAAATAAATTTTTCACTAAATTTAAATTTTTATTCACTAGACATTTATCAAAATGTTACATTAACGGTAATAATAATGATGGAAGAGGGAAAAAATATATTAATTTTCTGCTTGAATTCTAAAAGTTAGAATCTGTAAGAAATTCCTGTTGGATACACTTAGTAATTCAAACGTATTGATAGCTAAGTATTCAATTTTTACACTAATATTTATTTCAAATATTTTTATGCGTTAACGTTAAAATAATTTCTTTTAAACTTAGACAAATTACGAAAAATCCAGAAAAAGTTCATATAGTTGCGTGTAAATATCTGGTTATAACGAAAGTTTTCCACCAAAAAAAGTTCTTATTAAAGTTAGGAAAGAAAAACTTGAAAGCTGTACCGTTAGTGCGAGTAGTAATCACCAACCAAATCTGTGATTTTCTGCCAACGTTTTGGTAGTTCTTCAAAGCCTTCGGCTCAGAAATGTGGTGGCTGTGAGTCCAAAAACAGATCAACCTCATTTCGGACATCCTGTACAGAATGGAAGATAGCATCAGCAACATGTAGCCGCAGGTGTGAAAAAGGTAGAAGTCCGAAAGAGCAATGTCGGGGCTATATGACGGGTGTGGTAAAGCAATTCGACGTTTTTCCTTGATAGCAGCGTCTAGCTGTACACGTTATTGTGTTACTATTTTTCAGATACTCTTTGTCTAATTAAGAGCAAAATGCGGCTTCTTATCAGTGCAAATTTGTTTATACGGTTAACTCTTGCTAGTCTTAGGAGATAGATAGTCTCCTTGTCCTTCCTCGATACGTGTCTATTTTGTTCTTTACGTCCTCTCAGAGTGGAATGCGACCCTATGTTCTATGGTAATTATTGCTCGTTCTGGATGGGTACTATCACCCCTCTTAATTTGTAAATGTAATTTAGAATCACCCCGTATAATGCTTCTAATCTGGTAGCGTAATAGTTACATTTCAGACACCTTTTACTTAAAGATAACGATACGTTTTACAAATTTCACAAGACAGCGTTCTAATGCAAGTATCTTTATTTCAAATGCCAACAATCGTTTGAAAAAGTACGATTAAACACGCCAACGCTAATTGTTTGTTTACACGATATTTGCGGTGGCGGGAAACATTCGTTAAAATCCAATAATTATAAACTACTTTATTTCTTACTACATTTTGTTTTTCAGCTACGACACCTCATGGCTTTTCGATTTCGATAAAATTTTAATCTTGGAGAAAAATTACAAGAAACTCTCTTTATCACTAATTAAATGCACTTATTAATCATACTGATTCTGATTTTTAAAGATTTATAATTTTCGCTTGCGGGAAAAAAAACTATGCACTTATAAATGTGCTCAGAAACAAAGCAATCATTATTATTGCAGAAGTTCATTATTGAGGTTATTTATCTTTTTCCAAGTACGAAAAAGATAAATAAAATTTGTATCCCCAAATCTTTCAATAAGATTTATAACTCTATGTAAATGAATTAGCTTCATTTGTAGATTTTCTGGGGCGTTACTCATGTTCATTTGAATAGGGATAACATTAAAATCTTAAAATTTTCTTCAAATGATTGCAATTATAAATAATGTTTTATTAATGCTAATTAATTTATGGGAAATATATTCGCGGGTCGCATAAAATTGTTTCGGGGTCCGCCATGTTGAGATCACGGCATGCAGCGGGTGTATACTTGGATGAAAAAAGTATGAAATATTTTTTAAAAATAAAAATTGAAACTTTTATTATTTATTTGCATTTAGTAAACATTAAATACCTGAAAACACTAAACAGTTTATTCTTGTTCCGAGAGTATCGGAGAAGGAACCGAGGGCATCGACGTAATCAAAACGCTTAATTTGCCGTGTCGCAAATGCCAATTAGAAAGGGATTTCCAAATAGACATTACAACAGTATTTCTTTAAATATCAATTCTAAATATGTATTTTCAATTACGTCTAATTAAACAGCTACAGAATGGCATGTTAAAATTATTTTAACTCAGCGAGTGGCAGAGTTCTATAAAATAAAATACACAATTTAGTACTTAGGTATTTTGCCTTCGACCGGTTTCGATAGTGTCGCCAAACAGTGTTCATTTATCACCAATTATTAGGCTTACCGTAATGCTTTTTATTATCTTTTTAAGAAGTTATTAGTATTTGTCACTAATGTTAACTTTCTGAAAATCTAAAAATTCTTTGTTATTTTCAATTCTTAAATTTAAAATTAAAAAAATTAAAAATTAAAAAACGTTGGTTATTTTTAATAGCATCAAAATATTTGCTGCAATTTAGTTCATTGTTAATTTTGCAGCTTCGTAAAGCTTTTACGGTTAGCTGTTCTTTCACCAATTCATTATTGAGAATATTCTTTCGACAGCTGGCGACATGTTCAAATAGGCTTGGTCAGATCAAAGCGGGACGTCTGGGAAGCCTACTTATAAGTTAATTGCTATTTTTGTTTTCATTTTGCATTTTGAAAAAAATGATTCAAATCTGCGATTTAAGAATAGCAAGCAGTTTGAGTATTTTCAAAGTTGCAGGACTGGTTCTACAGACGCGCGAATTCAAAACATTAAAGAATCGTGGAGGAGTCAAATGGCGCAACCAAAGACACCGTATAGATTCGTATTTAATTGAATTTATTTGGTGTCCAGTTTATAAACAATGTGGCATTTTTATTATTTTATGTTCGATTTGGAATGTTTTACTTCCGGGATGATTGTCGCTAATCTTAAGAATTTGTTAGATAATCTCAAAGCTCGTAGTTATTCAGGTTTTAAAATGCCAGACTGCATTTTGTATATATTACTTACCTAATTAAATGAAGACCAATCTGTGATTATTTAACTACAGTGGTTAAAACAAGTTTTCTATGACACAACTGCATATATTATTTATGAATAATAAAAAAAATAGAGATAATTAAATAATAAATGTAAAAAAACAATAAATGCCATTAATGAGAAACAAAAACGTCTTCCCGTCTTCCGTGTGGTAGGTAAATAGTTTATAAAAAATATTTTCATGTTAACCATGTATTTAATAGTTGGTATGCCTTCCTTTGGTTTTTATTACCTCTTTTAAAACTTGTGGCATGATTCCCACAAGTTTTTTGTTGTTCAGGCGAAATGTTGCTGCTAATGCCCTGAATTCAAAAGGTCTCTGAATGGCACTTCTTAGTTTAACCTTGATTTTAATATCAGTTTTTTTTATTCACGACCAACGTCTTTCCATAAACATTCGATGGGGAGACAAATCGGGAAGCAAAAGCGGGATATGAAACTGTAGTTTTAACGTGGTACAGACTAAATTCTTCACAATCCTTGGAGGTGTGTTTTGAATCGTTGTCCTGTTAGAAAGTAAATTTAGTTCCAAGGGACACTTTTTCTGCACTAGTTATGACGTTTTGCTTTAGAATATCAAGATGTAATTTGATAAACGATGTACTTATTTATATTTCCTTCTATAAAACGTAAATTGTCGACACCAACAGCACTCGCTACTGCGTTTGACAGTTCCACATAAATTAATTTTCTTTAGTTAGCTCTTGTTGATTTGGTTTCTTACAGAACATAACTCGTCCATCTGACCCATAGGTATTACATTTTGATGCATCACCTTAAACGGTCTTATTTTTCCAGAAAGGTAAAAGTTTATTTACATGCTTCTTTGCAAATTCACTTCTTTACAAAGACTTATAAAAGGCTTCTTAGGAGCTGCATATCCATTGTAACCTGCCTTTTTAATGACATTTCTCACCGTTTCAAGAGTCATTTCAATATCGTAATCAATAAGGCAGCAATGACTTAAAGTGCTCTTATTCGTGAATTATCTTTAAACTCATGCATGCTACTTCTTTTATGTAATCGATTTAGCTTCGGTGGCTTTCCGGGTCGATCTATATGAACAAAAGTCTAAAGCTTACAGTATCTCTGTAGTCCACCATTTTTATAACTGAGTCACCAACTCGCGAATAGCTTTAAGAACTTCCATTTTAAGACGACTAACTACAAGCTAAAATTAAGCAATTGTTACTGTCGTATGTTTGAGACGCTTACGTACTATCCAGTTTCGAAAATTTACTGAATTCAGTTGCAGAAGACAGGATTAATAATTGTGTACGGAAATACTTTTTTGTATGATACTTTGAAACATCTAAATATTTCAATTAAAGCACTTATAGCGTTTTGTAAAAACATTTATTATAAACTCAGTTTAAACATGGTTCAGTAGTTACTGCAAGAATAATGCAAAAATTAGAAATTATGCTAACATATTCGTAATTCTTTGGCTTCAGTACGGAAACATTTTACCCATCGTATTTAAAATGACATTAAACAGTCCTTTTTTCCCTTTACCTAGTTTTCTGTATAATGACTATCTTACTTGCAACAATGGATGTGCGTAGAACTCATTGAGGAAGTCCATAATAGTGTCAGCACGAAGTGTCGTGTTACACACTACTACATGCTTTTCACTCTGAGCTCTGTGCATGCTGTACGTCCCTCCAAGTTTTTGACGCTCCATCCATGTATAAGCTAGTTGTTCGAACTGCAAAAATAAATGAATCGATCATTTGTAATGGAATCAGATAAATAATTTGACAATATGCAACATCATTTTAATTTTTTAAAACTACAAATAGAATGGCAGGTAATATAAAGCAGATGCCACTTAATATGATTGCGGTTACGTTATCATTCGGATATTATTATTTAGTTGCCGAGGATCCCACCTGTTTTCATATGAAAATATGGAAAATACATCACTATTATTGTGATTAGCAGTTGGCATAATATTATCAAAGTATGATCGAATAAATTTTTAAGCTGAAGCAAAGTCGCCAAATAAAGTCAAATTAGATTATAAAAATTGCCAAGAATAAGAAAAAATGTCGCCATTTAAGAGATTATATCGCGAAACAAATTGCTTTAAATTTTAGTCAACCATTTAAAATTACAAAATTAAATTAAAAAAGCAACCTTGTATTTTCAATAACTTTAGGATGATAAGACTCACGTCTGTCTTCTTCAGGTGCAAAAAAATTGTTTGCAGAATTTTCCCCGTGCTCCTTAAAAGGAGGAAAAATATAAAAAGGAAACTTCGCTCTTTGCGTTAGGTTTAAATTTTACGTTAACATGTTCTCTTCCAGTGAATGAGGTATATCCACCAACTTTTAACTAATTCGCATTCGACTGTCATAAACAAGAAAGCACACATTTCCTGACCGGCACGCTGGCTTGCCAGAGCGTTTTCTCGTTTACCCCGGCCTTCACACATTTGTGCCCGTGTTTTAGGACATTTTAAAAACTATAACTTTTGCCACAAGATGGCACTGCATGTCCATAGTATTTAAAATACATGCGGATTTGACTTTATACTCGAAATGAGAGAAACATGACTCATTCATTACAGAAAGGAAAGAATCATATAAACAAACATGACTCGTCTCTTTAACTCACCACGTGATATAAACATTCGCGCGCCTGCTATTCCTCCGAATCCTTTTTTGTTATTTTTTTTCTCTACTTTGTAGAGTCTTTTAGGCTTACTGGATGAAGTTCTATAATGGTTTGCGTTGCTTTCGGATATGTTTCGCGTTTTTCCCTTTTTACTTTGGAAGGCCTTGACTCCAGTTTATTATGGCAAGAAAGCATTACTTATCAGAGGAAAGATACACTCGCATAGAAAATGAGCCAATTAATGACATATATGAGAGTGATGATTCATTTTCTAAAGTGATATTTCTAGTGATGCCTGATACAGGCATTTGCCAGCGATAGAGCTAAGTGCCTGCCTTCCACTTCCCGTGAAAGATTTTGTTGCTTCTTCTTGTAAATAGTCTTGCTTGTACACTTTTAGTCCAAAGAGGCAGTTCGCCCAAAAGGACTATTAATTTCGTTTTGACATTTTGCGTCGATTCACCATAAGCGTTGTTTCACTTTTCAAATTGTTGCAACAAAATATTATCGCCGTGTGTTATATTTAAGGAAATTAAAGAATGAAGAATCTGCACGAATGCATACATGTTTCTCGCATTGTGATAAAACAACGGTACCTAGAGCTATCGAAATTTGAATAACGATATCTTCCATAGAATATGGGCATGTGGAAGCCCTAATTTAAATTTGAAATTTGTTTTATTATCTATTGCATATTTTGTAAAACTTCGACGATTTTTGATTAACAAACTAAACGATTTCAAAGCGAGCAATGGCAACACTGTTAGTAAAAAAGCATTTTTATCTCCAGCGCGCGAGACTCTGTATCGGAAATTCTAAAGATATGCTCATTTTAAAATTATTTTGCGTTATTGCTGTTGAACTGAATATTATGGTTTAAGTGCGAAGAACATGATATTTAATAAATAAAAATAGCACACAAAATGTTAAAAGAACGCCCCTTTGAAAGAATCGTTCGTTCTTTCAAATAATTCTAACAAATTGCTTAACCACATGTGGCGTCATTATCGCTCATAATGTCAAATTTCAAAATTCGCCAATATGTAAATTCTAATATATCTTAGGAAATTTTGAATAAAAGTCTAATTTTTTGCAGGTGTGTTTAGAAAAGATAATGGCCAAAATTTGATAGGTTATGGTTCAAAATTATTTTCCGAAAAATTTATAAAAAATTATTAAAAAATGCAAATTTTAAAAACAAATCAGAAAATTCCTGCGAATTTTATTTGGACTGAGCCTAAATTAAAAAATGTGAAAGAAGGAATCAAGTAAGTTTAATAAAAAAGAGATATTAATAAATGTATTCTAAATTCAATTAACATTGAGGAGCTAAAATTTTGAGAGCTATTCAAAAACTATTCGTACGATGTTTACAAAACTTGGCACTTTGGCATAACTTGAGTCATAGAATTAAAATATGGAAAAAAATCTTTATCTCATTTCAGTAAAAGTCCGATTTTGTGTCAAAATACCCAAGTTAGAACAATGCTATATATAAATCTAATATATCTCCTAAGTCGCGCTTTCGAGACATAAAAACGCAAGTTAAATTTCTCGATCGGCTCAGTAGAAACGGAGATGTAAAACTATCTCATTTTTTTATGCAAGGTATACCTGGAAATAACAGCGGTTCGCGGCACGGTGTGCTCGGTCTGGGCACATCTAAAAATTTCCTTCTGCACGCACAGAAAAATTGAATGAAAAAGGATTTGAAGGTTACTAGAGGTTATTCTGAACCTTCTTTGTTGATAGTAGATGGCAGCTCAACACAAACCAGTCCATATATTTTAGTTTTTTAAGACCCTTATTTTTCAAAGAAATCTTCCAGATTGTTTTAGGGTATAAAAGGAATTGGTTGAAGGAAATTTCTATGTTATTCTTTTTTTGGCTGTATGCTAATCTTATTCTATATTAGTTTTAAATTTTTACCTTGAAATCTTGCCTAAAATCGAACGGCGAACCGAGGTGTTCCCAGACTGGGCTCACTGCGAGTCTAGGTCAATGAGAGGCAGCTGTATCTTTTTTCTCTGCGGCTCATCGGTCAGCTCATTAACATAGAAAGGTGGGTCCACATCTGTGTTTCATTTCCTGTTTTTCTCTTCTTCTTCGCCCCCCTTTTTTTTGAAGGAAGGTTTGGTAATAAACTAAGAAATTGTTGGGGTGATTTTCTGAAAGTTAGGGATAATTTTATCAGTTAGCTGTTTGGTTTTTCACTAGAGCAGTTCTCTTTTTTTCTTTCGCTTTGGTTCAAAGAAGTTTTCTTAGCGCTACGTTTAATAGTTTTGAGTTGTAGATATTTACATTTTTATTTTATAGTTTATAATTTCAAATTGTAGATATAGTTATTTTTTTCGATTTTAATTATTTTCCAAAGGATCGGAGAGGGCTGACCATTTCTAAAGCACTGAAAGTGCTACACGAATTGCTTTCAGATAGTGAATCTGATACGGATCGCAGCACACGTGCAAAACATGCAATATTGGGTTGTGCTTTTTTAAAGGTGGTGTCACTTTCTTCGAAAAGTACCATGATAAAAAAATAGACTAAAGTGTAAATATGAAATGTAAATAATGTAAATATTATATATCCAAGTTACCTTTTCCCCCAATTCATAAGCATGTAATCATCATATAACCAAAGATGAGCTTTTTAGGGAGATGTAGAGTAGTAGATTTCCCCGTGGCACACCCTGGGTACTGCTAAATCTGGTATTCAGAATCTAGTGCTTTTTAATTGTAGGCAAAATCTCTTACTCTTTAAGGTGCTTTCCAGCAATGCTCGTTTCAACACTCTTTTCGAAGCTCTATTCAATCAGTGTGCCCGCTTCGGGCACAACCACAGAATTAAAACGATAAGTGCTATCTTTACAAAATTGTACCTGTGTACTCCTGTAGGCCTAATTAAACTGCTTACCATTTTTTATTGAAATTCCAACTTTAGAGGTAGTGTGCCGGAAAGGGTTATAAAACCTCAGACAGTAGCAGAAATTTGGGGAAAATTAACATTAGATATATTATTACTATATGCCCTACTAGTGGCCAAGTGATTAAGATCACTGAATACTAATAGTTCGAACAAGGTTCGAACACAGCTTATTCTTGCTGGCTGCGTGGTTGCCTTTCTCCACGTGTAACGTGAATACAAGCCAGTTTTTCTGCAAAAGTTCTCCATGAAAGCGTACCTCTCCCTTAGGCAGAAAGTACCCATGTGGTCCGCCATGTTCAAATAAATATAAGATATTTTGTTTAATACCTTACAGTTACTACAGGTCCATTTTTTTAGTGAAGATAAAACGTATATTCAGGTTGTCGCCATCTAGTTAGATTTCGTGCCAAGATTTACGCTTGGCGATAACTGGTTTCTCGTTAACAGGGTGCTCTCCATCAAAATTGGGGGCAGAACTGAGCAAAGTCGTGGCGTCATCTGTATGACGCTCAAGGCTCTTGCCAGCGACAGGCGCAATCGTGCACTCCTTGCCACGATGAACTTCGCAAGGCTTGTTCTGATGTTACTGTCAGACAAGTGAGATAAGTCACAACACAACGACAACACAGAAAAGTACTTAAAAAACAAACACTAACAAAACGCGTAAGATAAATTACTTTATCTGATTTAATAGTTATATGTGTTAAAACTGCCGTGTTTTATACTAAAAGCGATTTGAATATTTTCAGTTAATTTTCAGAAATTTTCCTCATAATTTATTTCAAAATTTAATTTCGCGACATTCTATTTCATTTAGTTTCAAAGTGAATACTTTTGTATTTCATATTAAATTGCATTTCTACATTTCTTTACTAAATCCAGAAATTATTCAAAGATTTGTGTTAGAATAAAATAAATGCCTAAAAAATAAGTGAAAATTTAAAATGATTCATTCTTCACCGTACTTCATTAAATTCAAAAGCGTTTTCGTTTTAGAAGTTCAAAGTATACATTGGAACCTCTCTTAATGAGCATTTGTTTCCGAGTGTTATCCGTTATGCGAAGGAATTTTTTACATAGGAATCAACGTAAATAAAGGTAACGTGTTTCATTCCGAAATAAATACTAAAACAACTTTATAATAATGTTATTTATTATTTATAA